TACCGGTAGTGTGCATCATAATTACTTTGAATCTCACCTGTGGTAGATTGGGATGAGAACCAATGGGTTATCTGGTAGCTCTGTCACTGGAACGGTATGGGGACAAAGGATTGTGTCTGTTGATCTGGCGAACTTTTTTTTCTATCATTAAGAACCTCAAATGTTCATATTTATGTAGGAAGGAGAGCAATACATATTAATCTGATTGTCACAGGAGTACATTAGCTCTCCTGCTTTCTCTCTCTCTCTCTCTCAGTATAGTCTGCAGGAATCTTGTTCATCCTGACATTCCATAGAACCTAGTGCTGATCCACTATACTGATAATATCAGGCTACGTAGAACTGGTGAACAGGAATTGGAAAGGACTCTTGGTGCCCTTTTAGATACAAATAAGCCAGAGGATGAAAGATTTAGATCTCTGCAGATTTTATGGGTCCTCTAGTCTGGAGGATGCTGGAACATCTCCTCCAAGGTAAAGGACAAATATTGAACTTCCACCCTCTACCAGTAAGAAAGAGACACTGCATGTCGGGGACTTTGGCTTTCCAAAGCATCCTGTATTTTCTTAGGAATTATCTGTCTCATTTATGGGGTGACTTGGAAGCCTGCCAGTTTCAAATGGGATCAAGAACAAGAGAGGCTCTACTGTAGGCTCTGGCTGTGATAAAAGCTGCCCTACTCTTCAGACTATATATGACTCAGGTTATCCATTGATGCTAGAGATAGCTGGGGTCGATATGAACGTTGTGTAGAATCTCTGGCAAGCCCTAGTAAAAGATTAACAGCAAAGACCCTCTGGCTCTGGAAGAAAGGTTATGTCTTCTCATTGTTTGAAAAGCAACCACTGGCATGCTTCTGTGTCCAGTAGAAACTGAGAATCTGACTTTATATGACATCAAGTGATTAACTGGAGCTACACATCATGACCTGGATGTTATGAGCTATGCCAAAATCATAAGGTCAGATAGAGTAGCAATCCATCACGTGATGGAAATGATGCATTTGGGATCAAGCCTGAGCAAGTCCAGAAGGCACAGGTGAGGACATGGACAGGTGGCCTATCAATTACCTTCCATATCATTTACCTCTCTTGCACTACTACCTCTCCTTCAACATACTCAAGATCTCATTGGGAACTCCCTATTGTCAGCTGTATCAGCTATTTATTGCTACAATAATGCTGTATAATAAGTGACCAAAAAATCTTTATGACAACCAACAATGAGTACTTATTACTCACACATCCCAGGCCAGCTGGGAATTAACTAGGCAGATTTCCTGGTCTTGGCTGGTCTTGCTCATGTCTTGGATTGGCTGGTGGATGAATGAAACAACTCAGCTCTCCCCTGCACATCTCTCATCCTTTGTCAGACTATCCCACTCATGTTCTGATGTCAATAACAGAGGCAGAAGAGAAGGCAAGACCAAACAACCAAGTATTTTTTTAAGCCTCTACTTGTACCACATTTGCTAACATTTCATTGATCTGAAACCAAATCACATGGCTAAGTTCAGAGCTCAGAGTCAAAAGTTGAGGCAGAATGCTCTACCTGGAGCAGGAGGGCAATGCAAGATTATATGGCAAAAGACACAGAAATAGGGAGAAATGAAGAATTGAAGCTATTTTTGCAGTATTAGCACATGAGCTGACAGTGTAAGAAAAAGTGGGCCTTGCTCATGCATGGACCAGCTTCATATGTTGGTGTGAGCCCCAAATGGCAGACTGCTATACTACTGCCTCTGTGAGAGGTGGCCCTAAGGTTTAGTTGTGAGAAGAAAAATCTTCTTGATGGACAGAACTTCAAACAGTACACTCTGTTATCATATTGATGGAAAGGGACATGGCCTGAGTTAAAATAATCACAGGTTTTTGATCTTGATAATTGGCTTGGGTGGTCAGGAGCACAGAAGGAGCAAGACTTGAAGATTAGAGAAAGATCTAAGGATGAAACATATGGACAAAACTATGGGAACATGCATAAAGTGTGAAAATTTTTGTGTCACGGAATGCCAGTAAGAGAACACTCATCTGAGGAGGCAGAGATTGGTGGACAAGATGATTCCTTCTGTAGATATTAGCCAGTCTTGCCCTTGATCACCCCAGGCTCACACAATGAGCCCATGAATGGAGTAATCATGACAGCTAAGAGGGAGACTAGACACAGGTCCAACAGCTTTGGCTTCCTCCCAATATGGCTAATCTAGTTACTGCCACTGATGAATACCCAATCTGTCAGTAACAGAAACCAATGATTTGGTACAATTCATTACAGAGATTAACCAGGCATTTGGTAGCAAGTTATTTGCATTAAATTCCTTTGACTCTGGAGGAGGAATTCTTTCCTGTTGTAATTAATTCTTACTCTTAATATGGACTTTCCTTCCAAAGTACCTCCACTAGCATTACTATCTTGATAGCCTACAGAACACCAACATGGCATCCTGCATTACACTACCTCAGATATAGGAACTATTTTGTAGCAAATGAAGAGCAACAATAGGTGCATAAATTATTGGATCCACTGGCCCTACCATATATAACATTATCCAGAAGAAATGAATCTAATAGAACAATGAAATGGCCTATTACAGGCTTAGTTTAGGCATTAGTGCAGATAGCCTGCAGGGTTTAGGTACTGTTCTCCAGGACGTGGTATATGCACTATACCAATGGCTAGTATATGATGCCATTGAAGAAATGAATCTAATAGAACAATGAAATGGCCTATTACAGGCTTAGTTTAGGCATTAGTGTAGATAGCCTGCAGGGTTTAGGTACTGTTCTCCAGGACGTGGTATATGCACTATACCAATGGCTAGTATATGATGCCATTTCCCCAAGTGCTAGAATTTATGGATCCAGGAACCAAGAAGAAAGAAGTAGGATTTCTTACCACTACTCCCAGTGACCTACTTGCATAATTGTGCTTCCCATCCCTGCCACCTCAGGCTTTGCTGGAAATCCTGGTTCCCAGACAAGGGGAAGGGAAGGAGCTGGCATGCTTCCACCAGGGAGCACAGTAAAGATTCCACTAAACTGAAGCTCCTGCTGCCAGTTGATCCCTTTGGACTGCTCATGTCTGTGGGACAACAGACAAAAAGATGAGTTCATACGTTGATTAACATGAGGAGCTAGGGTTGTGATTACAAAGTGAAAGAGAGAGGTGTTTGGAACTCAGGTGATTCATTGGGGCCCTGTTGGTGCTTCCTGTGAATGGCAGACAAATTGTGATAATCATGGCCTAAAAAAGGGCAAAGTAACAAAGGCCCTAGACACCTTAAGGGATGATGGTCTGGATCACTCTATCAGGAAATTAACCTAGATCAGTTGGATTTTTGGCAGAGAGCCAGAGAAATCTAAAATGGGTGGTGTTGGAAGAAGATGATGAATATTAGTTTTGGTCTTGGGTTCAGTTGCAGCAATGGGAACTGTAGCTTGTCTCATTAATCCTCCTGCATAGTCTTTTAGAGAGAATGTGGCTGGCCATCACCTTGAAGACCTGGTGATGTAGGTGTGAAGTAGGTTTAACACGGGACTCAAGCAGTTCTGAATAGTCAAAGGGTAGACAGCAGCAAGCACCGCTTTTGCCCTACATCACATCTCCTTACCCACTTCTGATATCATCCACAGCTGCATTGGACAGGTCCAAGTGAGCTCAGACTTGTCTTTTTTGTTGGTGAAATTCCACTGCAGGCATGAGCCATGCATCTTTCTGCCTTCTGTTTCAAGTCCTTCTTCAACATTGGGGGAGCCTGCTTTCCCACACAAAAGCACAGCCCAGAAGTGCAGGGGTAGTTAGTGCCCCTGGAGGCAACTCACAACTAATAATAGAGGGGTGGAAACTGGTTGATAAATGATCACAGTTCTATTAGGTGGACAATTTTGGGATGCACTCTGTAAGACCCTCGGGTGGTCTCGGCGCACTCAAGCCCAAAATGGCAACCTTGATAACACATCTTCATATTAGTTTTCTCCTTCTTGCTCTCCCCGTTCTCTCATTTCTGCTTCCTGGGGTCACCTCACAAATGGTCAACATACACCCAAGTCCTTTTCTCAGGTTCTACTTTCAAGTGACCTAAACTGAGTACCATTAATCAAATGCATTTATTTACTTATTATAATCTTTCCACATAAGTATCTTAGGGAGTTTGTGGACTTTGTGTAAGTAATTATTTATGAAGAATTATTTGCAAGGTGAGGTGAGAAGAACATTTTAACCCTGTGCAAATTAAATTTTTTTTGTTTAGGCAATAAAGGAGTTGACAACAATGATGCTTGCTCACTCTGAATCACATTGAAACTATCTTCAATTTCTACCTGATAATAAATGTAATAAGAATATTTGACTGATAATATATGAACTAATGTCTGAGTGGTGAAAAGCTGTATATGCTAATAAATACTACAATAAATTCCATATATATCCATTACATATATATATGTTTCAAGTTGTCACATAAAATTTCAATCCAGTATTACCTTCAATCCAGTATTACTTTCTGCTAGAAATTTCCTTAAAAACTCTTATGATATGAACATACATAATACCTGTCATGCTGAAACATTCACAAAAATTGAATAATTCACTTAAATTTTTTTGCATTGAGTCTATTTTTTTTTTTGTCTTTTTTGTGACCGGTAAGGGGATTGCAACCCTTGGTGTGGTGTCGCCCACACCGCACTCAGCCAGTGAGCGCACCGGCCATTCCTATATAGGATCCGAACCTGTGGTGGGAGCGTCGCTGCACTCCGCATTCTCCCGAGTGCGCCACGGGCTCGGCCCGCATTGAGTCTATTTTTGATCACCAAACTCACATTCACTCCATTTAAAAATGTTGATTGTATCCCTGAAGTATTCCATCTTAGTATTTGTACTACTAATTGCACTTTATTTAGGGATGGGTGGTTAGCTCAGTTGGTTATAACACTATAACACCACGAAGGTCAAGAGTTAAGATCCACACTGGCTAGACAATAAAGAAAAAAAATTGCACTTTGTTTATGCTACTGTTTTTCATTTCAGGGTCCTTTATTTTGGTAACAAGACATACTGGCAGGTTATAAATCCTTTAATACTTTTTTTTTTTAACACAGAGGAAGCTTGGTGATGGATATGTAGCCATTTGGTGTTTTTATGACTAACAGAGTTCAGGTTCTCTTTCTTATAAAATGTAAATGTACCCCTAAACATGTATGTAATTCTTACCAAAATTAAGCTTAGTCACTAAAAGAAGATTCACTATCTGAACTTTCTTCTGCAGTTTTTTCACTTTCACCATCAGGCACTGGAGCATCTGGTCTCCTGAAAGAGAAGAAAGGGAAAAAATTTAAGGGTTTTTTCCAATTGAAAAAAGCACAAACTCTAAATTAGGTTCATCTTCAAATGTTGCTGCTAATAAATCTGCCAAATCTGCGTCCTTAACTGAGGGAGTCTCCTGCTTTACACCACAGTGTGCTTCTCCCTGGCTTCTTCAGCACTCTGAAGATTAAATGCTTTTCCTGCAGAGGTCACTGCACTCTTTTTTCTTGCCAGTCCTTACACAGTGTGCTACTTCAGCACTTTCTGCTTCTCATTACCGTGGAGACCCAACTACGGACAGATATGTGATCTGCAGAGGGTGGCGTGACCAGTGCTAAACCCCTACAGCCTCCAAGTGTACATGAAGTACACAGAAAGGAAAGCTAGAAATAGAAAGCAAAGGAAAACTTTCATGTTCAGGAAAGCTGCAGGGAGAAATTTAGAAACAAAAAAGAGTTCAAGAATGGCAATTAGGAAACACAGGCAATATGGAAATTTTGTGGGAGTGGAGAGTGCCTGGTCAAAGAAGGTTCTTAATGTTTGTTGAATGTTTTTACTTACATGCTTTGTTTGTCTTTAGAGAATGAATATTGAAAATATGGGTTAGCAAAAATACTGTTTCAAAGATTCCCTACGCACAATAAGAAGACATAAGAATGGGTGAACTCCAACTTTGCAAGGATTTACTATAATAAACCCAAATGAAATATTAATGGTGTTATTAAAACAGTCAACTAGATAGTCCCCAACAGTGTTTGTGCCAGTAAATCATTTAATCAATATAGTAGCATTATCACTCAGCCTCTATTCACTCTTACAAAGAAAGTAAATTAAGCAAGTATACTTTTGTGGAAACTAAAAGTAAGAATAATAGAGCTGTTATGTCTTTTTTTTTCTTTCTTAATTTTATTTTGTCGATATACTATGAGGTTGATTATTGTGGCCCATTACCGAAACCCCCCTCCCTTCTCCCTCTCCCGCCTTGCGCCCAACAATGTCCTTTCTGTTTGCTTGTCGTATCAACTTCAAGGAATTGTAGTTGTTAAGTATTCTTCCCCCCTCCCCCCGGTTTTTTCTTTTTTGTGTGTGAATTTATTTATTTATTATTAGCTCCCACCAATAAGTGAGAACATGTTGTATTTCTCTTTCTGTGCCTGACTTGTTTCACTTAATATAATTCTCTCAAGGTCCATCCATGTTGTTGCAAATGGCAGTATTTCATTCGATTTTATAGCTGAGTAGTATTCCATTGTGTAGATATACCACATTTTCCGTATCCACTCATCCGATGATGGACATTTGGGCTGATTCCAGCTCTTGGCTATTGTGAAGAGTGCTGCAATGAACATTGGGAAACAAGTATACCTTCGACTTGATGATTTCCATTCCTTTGGATATATTCCCAGCAGTGGGATAGCTGCGTCGTATGGTAGATCTATCTTCAGCTGTTTAAGGAACCTCCAAACCATTTAATGCAATCCCCATTAAAATTCCTATGACATTT